CATACTTAGGGCTTGTTTGACAATCAGCTGTTAGATTTAGCGGTTAACGGATTGTATTAACTGTTTTGACCAGCGAATTGAATTAGTTGCTTTGACCAGCGGATTATATTAGCGGTTTGTAACATAATGTTTGGTAAAATTAACTGTTCAAAATTAGTTGTTAGTAAATATAAATATTTGAATATTTGATATTTTTTTACATTTATGACAATTATTTCAAAAAAAGGGCGCGTCGAAACGATCGGTAGCACAGGTCTTTGAGTTAAGTCTGTTCCGATCAAAACGGGAATGGGCTGGGATCAAATAATTTATGATTTGTGAATTTGAAAAAGATGATTTAATAAAAAATAAATATTTTCTTACAACAAGTAATTAACTTTATATTTTATTTATTTAAATTCTAGACAATATATATTAAAAACAAAATATGCATGAATTATAAATTAAAAAATACAAAAGTAAATAAAAGAAATAATGAACCATAATAACATTATATATCTCTCATGTACAGGTAAGCCGAGAATCCCATCCCCTATGCAACATAATTAAATTAAAAATAAAAGATGAGACACATCCTATTTTGGATAGAAATTTATAAACAAATGAATAAAAAGCATCCTTCTTCAGCCGCTGACTCAAAACGTTCCATATAATGTCTTCTAAAATATGCTAGCGTTTTCTAAAATAGCTTTTCTAAAATAGTTTTTCCACCTAATCAGCTGAATAAAAAAGCTAGCTAATCAAACAATATTTTCAACTGTTTTATTTGGTCAAAACAGTTGTTATAGCTTTTTAGTGTGAAAAGCTATTAACCAAACGAAGCCTTAAATATTATATTTTAAAGGATTTTTATGCATATAGAATTCTACTTAAATTATTAGTATTAGTTTATATATTAACATAGATTGGTGGATTTCATATTCTAGCTCTTTGTAGACTTGTAGTGGAAGTGAAACTTTAATGTGCCACCTGGTAAGAACGAAAAATCCCTCAATTTAGAAAGTATAAGACAAATATAATATATTTGGTCAAGTATAATGATGATGATAATACATTTTGCAATGATAATATTTGATACTATGATTTTTGCGCACGCGGTTTTGTTTTACTTTTATGTAAATAACTTTAGTTTCGTCAAAAAAACATAACGCGGTATGCCACAATATTTTTCTCCTCAAATCTAGTGAGATTTATTGACAACAATAAATTTTGAGTAATTTTTAATTAAAGGGTTCGAAAATCAGTGGCGGATTTATGTTTAACATAGGGGGCATTGTCCCCCCAAAATTTTTAGTTTTTAGTATATATATATATATATGATAAGTATATTATTTTTCACATAATTTCATATAATTATATTAAAATAATAATTGTATTACTCTTTTTACTAATAATTCAACCACAAATTATACTCTTTTTACACTTTCGTATAACATTTTTTCTACTTTAAATAAATTGAATGATTGAAAAATATGTGAAAATATAAAAATTGCTAATTTTTGAAAAAAAAAGTCCATATAAGATATGCTCAATGTAAAGAAAAAAAATATCATAACTATTAATGTTGAGTTAATCATTAACGAAATTCGTGATTTGAGACACGTACAATCAAAATTTGTTATTGTCAAGTTTTGAAACTTTATAATTCATAATGCACTATTATTATATATAATTTTATAATACAACTTTCTATTTTTTATGTACATTAATTCAAATCTAAAATTATTAAAAATATATATAGCCCCCCTCAAAATAAATTTCTGGATCCGCCCCTGTCGAAAATCGTCACGAAACATGAACATGCACACTTTGAAAAAAACTCAAAAGTAATTCAAGTTTGAACATGTTATTTACTTATGATCAAATAATATAGATAACCCAAAACATAATAGTGAAGCATAACCTGACACGATAATACGATTTATCATTTGAATTTTTATGTATAAGAAACATTGTGATTTGACTCTTTTCTATAAAATACGAGACTACATATATATTTTTACTACAGTTAGTAACTTATTTTTTATGACAACTCTGTCATCCAGTTATAATGCACCAACATGTTAAATTATTTTATTAAACATTATCTACAAAAGGACATTCATAGTAAAAAAAAATATGGGAATTTTATATTTTTATTATCTAATGTCATCGATAGGTAAAAAATAAAATTAAGAGGCACACATATGAAATACGAATTCTTACATCATATGTGAAAAAACTTAAATATTTAACTGAAATAAAATTAAAAGTTGAATATTATATATAGAAGTGTCATTGAATAAATTGTGTAGTGTCGTTTAACACTAGTTCCGTCAAAGCATTATTCACACATGTGTGGCCCAATAAAATCGGGCCTGACCTTTGAGTTCAATCAACTNTTGGGACAATAGTTATATACCATTCATGAACTAGTTATAAATCGAAAAATAATGCAACTTAAAGATTAATGATAAATGTAAACAAAAAATGAATTGTAAAAATTAGTATATTTACAACTAAAATAAAATGCGATTTGCAGGTAAATTGTGTAATTTTATCTAGTTTGATAGGCACTTTTACTTGCATTTTCCCATGCATTAAATCACGAGTGACCTAGGCATGGCCTAACGGACCTGACTCGCTGAGTCGAAGCCCGTCTCGAGTTAGGAGGGCTCCAGTTAAAAATTCCGTCAGTTTCGATTTTAGGTCGAGCTGGTGGGTACAAGCGTTTTTTAAGTAAAAATTAAAATTCTTCACGTTGATCTGCCAATTTTAAGTCGGACCCACCGACCTGACACATGGGATGAATCTTGATCGTTGATCTTGCAACAGATACAAAATCTAACACTGTAGATTAGATTGTATTTGAGTCCAACCCTACTGGTTGGAACCAAAAATTCAAAATATGTATTTTGAAGTTCCACATTTTTTGGCACCATAAACAAAATAACATGTGAACAAAATTTGTTATTAAAAAAGGTGTTATTAAATTAATCTCCATAAACAAAATAACATGTGAACAAAATTTGGACTATGGTTTAAGATCTATATGTGTTTCATTTATGTGCAGAGAAGCTGTAAATGGTAGTTGGGACTTTAGTGATGCTTTTAATTGTGGGTGGCCAATTAGGTAAGAAGGCTACTTGCCAACATGAATTACTATCAACTAATTAATGGATTTAGGGGTAATGGAATATAAGTTATTTTAATTTTGATTGCATTTGTTGATTAACGGGTGTTAATTTTGAATTTGTATTAAAATAATATTTAAAACATAATAATTAAAGTTGATTTGATAAAAAAATATGAGAGAGTAATGGAAAATGATAGATAGTTAAAATTATGTGAGTAAATAATGAATTAAAATTGATTTTGATGTATGAGTATGATTGATTGATATAATTTAATTATATTAATAATATTGAATAAAGTTAGTTGAGTTAAATTTAAATTAGATATTGAGTTAAAAAAAATCTAATGAAACGTATTGTATGAACAATTGCCTAACAATCCTAATATCTGTATATTTTGGTTCTTCCCTTTTAACTTTCCTTTTTAAGGTTATTCCCCTTTTAGCTTTCCTTTTTAAATCAGTAAATCACTATTTTTTTCCTTATATTGCAGTTGAAGGGGAGCACAAAATTTTTAAAGGGAACCCATCTAAAGTTCCTTCCATGCGAATCCGAATTAGGACTGTTATCGAATTTAATGTTCGCGAGCAAACGCTTGTTCGTGTTCGACAATAGCTCGTTAGTTTGTTAACCAAGAAGAGTTCTAACAGAAAATTAAACTCGTTTAATAATTGAATAAACACGAGCATGTTCGCGAATGTTCGATAATGTTTGCGAATATTGATTTAAGAAAATTTTATTTTATTTTTGTATATTGACATAATATTTTAATAAAAAGTCTAATATATATATATATATATATAAATTTTCGAGTTTGAACGAATAATTTTTGAGTTAATCAATGATATTTAAAAATTTGTTTCCTAAATTATTCCAACACGAATGAACTCAAATTTTAACGAATAATTAAACGATTGAGCTCGAACACAATTTTTTGCTCAAAAAATAAATGAACAAATACGAATAACATTCGAACATAAACGAACACGAGCTTGAAATGCTCAAGCTCGACTTGTTCGGTTCGATTACATCACTACTCCTAATGAATGCAATCTAGAAGTCCCTTGTGTTCGATGATTTATATAATCCACCTAAATATATACTTAACAAATTAACCTAGCTCAAACAAAAGGGTTAATGTCTTTTATTTAATTAAAATATTAATTGATATGTTATATAATGTGGAACATGTACCTTGATGAATTTTTGACTGTTGATAATCGTTAAAATGGTATTCATCGGCAAAAATCAAAACGGACGTCTCTTTTACTCTCTCTTTTATCGGAGCTGAAACAACAATAAATTCAAGTTCACTTTTCGCACAAAGTGCGATGAATTAAGTGGTCGTGGACTCGAATTCCATCGTTTGCAGTCCATTTGAACCCTTT